GGCAGAGAGGCGGGTCATCGGGGCCTGGCCAGGGGGAGGTGGGAAAGGAGGTGGGAGATGCCAGTGCACACAGACCCGCAGCCAGCACGCGGAGGTCCACCCCGAGAACGAGGCACCCCGGGCCCCACCCGCCAAGACCAGGACCCCACCCGGCTCCCGCTCTGCTGACCAGAGTCACGCCCACCATGATGGGTACCCAGGGCTCCATTTCGCCCTCCAGTTGGGCCACCACATGGGACCCCGAAGGCACAAATCCTAGGAGACGGTGTAAGAGTCCCCCCCCCCACCCACCCAAATGAAGGCTGACCCAGCCGGCCACACACCACAGGAAGCCCATGTCACCATGGCAACCAGAAGGAGCCTGAGTCTTAGAAAAGAAACCTCCCCCGTACATTAAAACATTCACTGAGGCCCGGCCAGTGTGGCTCAGTGGTTGAGCATCGACCTATGAACCAGGAGATCACGGTTCGACTCCCAGTCAGGGCACAAGCCTGGTCATGGGCTCGGTCCCCAGCGTGGGCCGTGCAGGAGGCAGCCAGTGGACGATTCTCTCTCATCATTGACGTTTCTCTCTCTCTCTCCCTTCCTCTCTGAAAACAATAAAAATATATATTTTTTAAAAATTATAGAACAGCTAAATAAATGGAAAGACATGTCATGTCCATGGACTGAAAGACACGAAGATGGCAATACTCCCCAAACTGACCTACTGATTCGCATCCGTGGCTCAAGCCTGGCCCAGGGAGGGCCCTGGAGAATTTCTTTTGTTGGAAGAAGGCAAAACCCGGCGCGAGAGGCCATGGCTTCCGCAGAGTCACGGAGAGCGGCCGAGAGGCGGAGACCAGCTCACGCCCAGTGCCCGGCCCTGGGCACCAACCCCGGGGGCTTTAGGAGGAACAGGAACCCCCGCGGGGAACAGCCAGAGGCGGCCAGTTTGCGGGCGGAGCCTGAGGGCCTTACCCAGCGAGACGGTGAGCGCGAAGTTCTCCAGCATCACCTCCCGGTACAGGCTCCTCTGCGTGGGGGTGAGGAGCGTCCACTCCTCCCGGGAGAAGTACACGGCCACGTCCTCGAAGGTGACCAGGCCCTGCGGGTGGAGTCCACTCAGCCTCGGGGGCCGCAGTGGCCAGAAAAGCCAACCCCAATGCAGACCAGGGGGTCCCGACCTGTCTTTGGCCGTGCCCCACCTAACCACCCCTAAAATCCTGATACCCCGAGACATATAATTCTTATTATTAAAAAAATGGACTGTTGCCCTGGCCGGTTTGGCTCAGTGGATAGAGCGTCGGCCTGCGGACTGAAGGGTCCCGGGTTCAATTCTGGTCAAGGGCACCTGTCCGGGTTGCAGGCTGGATCCCCAGTGTGAGGCGTGCAGGAGGCGGCCGATCCATGATTCTCTCTCATCATCGATGTTTCTCTCTCTCTCCCTCTCTGAAATCAATTTTTTTTTTAATTAAAAAAAAAAAATGAACTGCTCACGTGGAGGAAGCCTACACGGCCATTCACTTGGTCTAAACAAGCTTCCAAAGAACATGGCATCCGTGAAAGAGAAAAATAAAAGAATAGAAGGGCAGGTGAATTACTGAGGGAGAAATCACTAAGAAATTGTTTAAAAAATAATAATCGCCCTAACCGGTTTGGCTCAGTGGATAGAGCGTCGGCCTGCGGACTGAAGGGTCCCGGGTTCGATTCCGGTCAAGGGCATGTACTTTGGTTGCGGGCACATCCCCAGTAGGGGGCGTGCAGGAGGCAGCTGATCGATGTTTCTAACTCTCTATCCCTCTCCCTTCCTCTCTGTAAAAAAATCAATAAAATATATTAAAAAAATAATAATAATAGTACAAAGTGATATGGAAAAAATAGTAAACAAAGTTTCAAAAAATATAACAGAGAACTGAAGTGCATAAATATGCCACAATATACATTTACATACTGTCTGAGGCCCCTAGAGCCATAAGAAATGCAAAAAACTCACTGTTAACAACTCAGTTCTCGAGTTGCCCCCCTTAAACACCAAACTGCCCCCCGTGGGGCGTGTGTGGGGCGATGGGGACCCCTGACGTCGACAGGACACATCCAGGCCCCTTTGCACCCCAAACCCCCTCAACCCTGCACCCGCCAGGAGCACCCGCCGCACCCCATCTCCTGCCACCAGCCCCCCGGGTCCCCGGGGTCACCCCTGAGAGGTCAGCCTTCTCTCTCCGGCACCAGGACCTGCTCTGGGGACCCCCCCACCCCCCAGCGACCCTTGGGCCCACCGGGCACCCAGCCCCGCACTCCGCACCCCGTGCCCCGCACCCCGTCCCCGCTCCACGGCCAGAGCGACAGCGCGGAGAGCAACCGCCCTCCCGCCCACCGGCCTCGGCTCGGCGGCCAGGCCCGCCCCTCCCAGCCGGGCTCCGTCCTGGGCTCATCGGAACCGGACCCCCTTCCGCTCACCCGCGCCTCCTCGGCCATCGGAACCTGTGGGCGCAGCGTGGCTCGAAGCTCGTCATCCGCGGGGTGCGGGGCGCCGTCTCCGGAGGCGCGGGGGACGCGGGCCTGACGCAGACCGGGCCGCCCTTCTCCTTCGCCGCCCGCGGGGCCCGCGACACACTCGCCGGGAGCCCGCACGGACCCGCCACCGGGAGCCCCCCGAGCCCCGCCAGGCAGCGCCGGAAGTCCCGCCCCGTCCGTGCTGCGGCCGCCTCACAGACTCGGCGACTCCATTTCCCAGCGCCCCACGCGGG